ATATTAAAATTTATATATTTTATATTGCTAAGGCATTTATTATAATATTATTTCTCGATCATATATTTCATTAATTGATACTTGCTGTCCAATATATTGTAATATATTGTACCAGACTTTTGTACTAAAATTTGTCATACGCGTAATGCAATTAAATTTCGCAAGTCTAAATTTTATATCCAATGGACTATGAAAAAAATATAACATATATTGCTGTTTAAATTGTACATAAATTATACGCTTGATAAATTATATCGTTGCCCATGCACTAAGAATTTCAAATGGACCAAAGTAGAATCGAATATTTTAAAAATCACGTCAAAACATTTCCAAGAATTCTAAATCAATCGTACTTGACACTAATCCAGATTATTCCAGATTAATAAATCGATCGATAATATTACTTTATTCCAGTTTCTCGCTTTCAAGAGTATTAAAATATATCAAGTTTTTCTGAAAAAAAAAAAAAAAAAGAATAAAATATCTTTAAAAGAAAAAGATAATATTAAAAAATATATTATATTAAATATTAGATATTTAAAAAAAAACAAACAAAATAATCTCCTTTTATTTTCCAAAATATTTGTCCTCTACATCCTTTTCTCAAATTACAAAGCTGTTAAACGTCTCATAAAAGATATTTTATTCATCAAAAATCATTCATTTTCCATGTTTCTTCAAAACAATTTCAATTTCAATTTCATAAAATTGATACTAAAATACCTTTCTTTCCTAAATAAATTTTCTAATCGAATGATTCCAGGAATCCTGGCGCCCAAAAATCGTTTGTCAATCTACCAATTATCATCGCACGAATCTATCTCCACGGAGGGAAAACGATAGAGTAAGAAAATGGAGGAACGATCGGCGTATAAATCGTTTTTCTAGTTACAACAGTGAAAAAGGAAAGAGAGAGAAAGAGAAAAAAAAGAAGAAAAAAAAAGAAGGAACGGAACGTTAAGTAAAAACGAAAGCGCGTGGTGAAAGCAAACTCGTAGGATCATGTAAAGTACTTACACGACCGATAATTACCGCGTCGAGTTGTAAAACGTTGATAGAGAAAAAAATTAAATATCAGAATATGGTAAAAAGTAAAGGTCGTGCAGTAATATTTTCGTGTAATTTAGACTAGTACGCGATTCTTTGTTTATTAACAGCTCGTGTACGTGCCTTATTGTATTATTACGGCCTATTGTATAATACGCCTAGACACTTAAGAAACAATTGTCTCTAAGGCGATTGCATGGTCGGTCGATCGTGTTTGTTAGGTAGCTGCTATTATCGCAATATAATTAATTTTGAACAAATGATGGAAAATAAGTGTAAATGATAGAAAATGTGATAATTGTTTAAGTGGGAAGTTCTTAAAAAATCAAAGATCTTCTTTGATGAGAAAATTGAGAAAATAAAATTCTGTTGCAGCAGTTCGATAAAAGAAATGTTATTAATCGAATATGTATATCATGTATAATATTCGAATGAAAAAAATAAAGAGGAATATTTGTAATTTAAATTATATACGAATACGTTAAACTTCATAATAAGAATATCGATATAAAAGGTAAGCTTGAATGCGTAATATTTATTTTAAAATTAAGAGACAGTAGTAGTAAGAGAGATAGTAAAGTTACGGTTGCTTGTTTTTCTTTCAGTTGATCGATGGGAAACGTCGAAATATTTCTATTTCGCAGTTATTCATTCCAAAACATTGAAATTTAAATACGTGACCGATAAATTCAAGGATCGATCCAATTTCTATATAACATTTTCTGCTTTTTCAACTTCATTCACTGACAGCTATTTGTCTTCATTTGTACTATGCTGCTCATTGATCTTGGCAGAATAAGGTCTCCTTAGTGTAAATTCCACCAACTCGATGGTACAAAAGCCGCTTTAAATGGAACATTGATTAATCTTATTAGGCAAGTATAAGCTGATCTGAGGAAATCTATGTGAAATAAACCTGTGTGAAAGGAGAAAGAGGTTTAATTCTAAATCTAAAAAAAAATATCGACTTCAACATTCTTGCTTTTAATTTACTAGATACCTGTGTCGAGCCATAATTTCTTTATCATCGGTATACACAATTAAGGAAAGTAATTCAATCACAATGAATCTATCGGAGGGTCATTGAAGCTCGTTTTGAGAAATTACTATCCACGATTATTTCACGTGGAACAACCGATAAAATTTAATGCGACGCCGGGTCTCTTCCACGATCCTTTGAACACGGCTGCGTAACCTGTTCTGAAATCATTAGATTCAATCTAGACACATGGTGATTCCACCGGTAAAACGGAAGATATCGATTCTCGATGGAAGCTTAAGCATCCTGCTTACCATAGTTTCAACGCATTCCTCCACATCATTCCATAATTATAAGATAAAATCAATTACGATGAAATTATTCATCATTTATAATGAATCGTTATCTATTCCCTATAATAAAAGCTATTAATCCGAATAAATTTCCAAAAAATTTCGTATTTCTTATCATATCTTCACAGAATTTGGAGAAACGATGACATAAAATATTATATCCGTAATTACAACGTGTTTCAATTTCAATCTCCAATATCCAATATCCACCTTCTAATCTCTCTATTACTAACTTTTGTATCTGGTTCAGCTTTTACCGTGAATTCGTATTCTAATTCTAACAGATATAATTTTTTTCAGTGCACAGACATCATCGATCGACCGTGTCCATTTTCCATAATTGTTCTAATTTATCGCCCCATTCGATGTTATCGGAGCGTGGCTTATGGAACGAGTCACAGTAACCAGAGGACTTTAATGATCTTAATTCTTGTTCGAGGGAAAATCAATTCACCGTACGCTTGATCTAACTCTGGTTAGAGTTCGTTTCCTAGATTTCAAACGAATATACGACTTCCTCTTCGAGAAAAGTCGCCTCTGCGCGTATGTAGAAGAACGTGAGTATTTGTATCTGTTTCATAGATGCACAAGACTGACTATGCCCCTACGGCATCAAGTTTTGCAAGAATTTGTAATCTCGTACATTGTATCTCGAGAAGCGATACGGTATATAGTTCGAGGTTTATTGCATTCGGTAAACAGACGGAATATGAATGTATCTTGATCTCTTCCACTCTCTCTCTCTCTTTCTCTCTCTCTCTCTTTTTACAGGACGTCGAATTTGCAAATTATAAAGGTCGATAAGGCACCGCGGGGATATACAACGTGCTCTGATTGTATTCAAAATCGCATTGTGCTTCTCGAAGATTAATGTTATCGATATAGTTTATGGATATCTGTTATATACACGGTTATATATACGCGTATAGATAGGAATTTCTTACGTTGGCTCCGGAAAGGTACAGCAGATACATCTTCTTACCGGGAGGGAGAAGATGTATGTTTGTGTGCTAAATAGGGGTATGTTTATCTGTTAAAGCACGGAGTGGAATGGAATTTGCTTCGACGTTTCTAACCCTTTGCGTATTAAAATACGAGCCATTGTGGAAAATGTATATATTATTACTCTTTTGTATGGATTAAATATATCATTCGTTTATCTAATCTATCTTTCATCAATTGAAACGATCATAAATCTGATACGATAATAGCTTTTATTGGGCATAAAATTTTTGGAGATTGGATACATTTATTTAAAAATCGTGATCTCGTGGATATATTATAAGTGGATATATGAGTGTATTATACAAATTATTGTATAATACCATTTGACTATTTATCATCGATACTGAAGAAGTCTTATATAATCCAAGACTTTGTAGCTTTTTGTCTTTTTTGTGAACAAAGGATGGTTAATTACACGACGATAATTTCGATCAAATTATAAATATATTTACGCATTGTCATCGATGCGTGTAACTTTTATGTAATGTAATTTTGCCGTATATTAATACATTGGCAATACATTGAATAACAGCCTTGAATATTTGATCATTTTACTTTGAACGAACCGCGTGTTTATTCGCTTGCCTGTACTACTTGGATATTTCCATAGTTGCATTAGTCATCGAACCGTAGATAATTTGAATTTATAAGATCACGAGAAATTCTATTCTGAACCTCGAATAGATTTCTATCAGGCACTGCGGGAAATCAGGATTAATACAATGTTCCCTTACGTCCTTTTTTACTATTCGATCTTATGTACTGTTTAGAATGATTGTATTATGCATTATGAATAATAAATGGCGTGACTTTTGAGATTATATTTTTATATTTCTCTGAAATGTCACGTAAATACTTTATTTCCTAGAATATTAATTTCTTTGCTTTATCGTGAAGAATTCATAAAATGTTATTTATTATGATATATCGAGCAATGGTCCTTTAGGAACGAATTGTATGTCAATCAAAAATTTTCAATGTTCGAATTCGAATCACAGCATTCCTTTACTATCGATCGTCGATTAGAAATTTATTTTCGTGTGTCAAAATGAATTAAGTAATGTCGAAAGAAGTATGTCGCGCCAATGAAACTTTCATTGGTATAATTTATTCTCTAGCTCCACGATATCGAATATAAAAGTACAGTAATGTTTTTTCGAATGACCACCCACGGTGTGAACGTTAAATATTCTCATTCGTTAAAAAACAACTTAGAAACAGTGATTTAATCGAGTTAACATATGTCAGAGATAATTCGAAACTATGAATCATGTTCTTTTTCGTTTAAAATGTTTCTCATAAATGGTAACTATACCATAGATGTTTGTGCAATTTTAAAAATAAAAAGTAAGTAAAACAAATCTTTATTTAGATATTTTTTCTTTTCTTTTATTAAAATTTATTTACATTTCATGATTATTATGAATTTTTTATCAACAAATAGTCAAATTTTATCTACTGTCAGAAAAATAGAAATTCATATATGTGAGAAAAGACTTGATTGATTGAAAAATTTGAAGATTGAATTTAGTATAATCCGTATAATATAAATATTAATACATATAATAAATTTTAATTGACATACTTGAAAATTATGATAATCAGTTTTTTTATAGATAAATATTGAAAGCAAAATATCGATAATCGGTGAAGAAGGAATCTTGCTACAGTAACGATTAAACTGAACTTCAGAACACATCTTGCTTCCATTTTATCCCATATTTTGCTTGAAAGTATTCACATTTTATATTAATAAAGATTAAAAACAAACTTCAAATTAACAAAACGTAATTTCAAAAACCAAATATTTGAACAGAAATTTTTACGTTAAATAATATAAATAGAGGAGAATATTTAAATATTCTATCTCGTTAATGATCATAAAAAGAAAACGTAGTTTTAAAATTATAAAAAAATCTCAAACGATTGATTCGATGGGCAATTACATGAGGCCTACCGATCCTTTAAGTCTTTCTCTTCCCAAAGGTATCAATGTTGACACGTCCCCTATCAAACGATCGAAATTACCCATCATTTTCATCATTGGAGGACCGGGATCTGGAAAAAGTTATTATATTTATTTCATTATCACATAACCTTAGAACTTCGTTAAATTTAATAACCGTTTAACTTTTTTTTTTCATATTTCATGTTGAATTTTTTGAAGATATAGAAATAATAAGATAAAGTTAACGCAAAAGAAATATAGTTGAGAGATATTCTAAAGAAATATATTTAATGAAAATAATAAAAATATGAAATATGAAAATCACGTTATTTTATTATCATCTATTATTATTATCGTGTCAATATTATATTATTTTATTTTTTTACTCTCGTTTCTAATTATCATTTTATTTGTTTTACAATTTTATCTATCTCACTTACGATCTATTCTCATTTCATTAAATCCCAGATAGATTTTCTAAAAATTCTGAAACAAAAAAAAAAATGAAAGTCTTTTCATTCTATAACTAATAATCGATCATTTCAGGGACAATAACCACACATGTAGCGGAGAAGTACGGTTTCGAACGTATAATATCCACGGATATTATTCGAAACGAAGTGTCCAAACGATCGGATAAGGCCTACGCTCTGGCACGTTATTTGTCGAGGGGTCAACTGGTGCCAGAGGATGTATTAGTGGAATTGATCGCGATAAGGATGCTGGAGAATATTCACAGGAAGAAAGGATTCTTTATAAGCGGATTTCCCCGGGATAAGAAACAAGGTAAAGTTTTTGATAAAGAAATACGAGCACCTGATCTCGTCTTATTTCTGCATGTTCGAAATTCCGTAATGACCGACCGAGAAATGGCAAAAAGCGTGAAAGCTACAGAGAGAGTATCCGTCACTTTCGAATATATCAGAAATCGGATCAAGGATTTCCATAGGCGGAACAAATCTATACTTAGACATTACCGTAAAGTCTTGGTGATAATCGATGCTGAGCCTGAAATAATGGTCGTGGTCGAAAGTGCGTGTGCAGTTATAGATAATCTTTTAAGAAAAAAATTTGGAGAAAATTATCCAGTCTCAATGCCATCGACTTCCAAATAAATTTCGAAATGATAGATTTTATTGTCTAATGTTTGTATGAAAGATCTTTTACATAAATGAGACATAATATGTTATTTAAGAGAGACTTTACTCAGAGTGTATTAGATTGTCAATTTTTAATTTGATTAGATGTAATTTAAATGTTAATTGATAATAGTGGACGTACTGTAAATAGAAGAAGCATTGTTAATTAAACAAGAAGAATATTTTTGCAAGGAAATATAATTTTTTCCCACATCGTTAATATTCATCTTTAAATATATGCAGCCGTTCAAAAGTCTTAGAATTTTTCAATAGTTTTTTTATCATATTTATTTGAAAGTTGAAAGAAATTAAATACTTTATACGATAATATTGTGTATTTCTAAGATTTTTATGTTAAAAATATACATTTGATATTGTATGAAATAATCTTTGACTAAGTGCAATCTAAATATTAAGATCAATTTAATTCTGTTTAAATAAATAATTAAATAGTGGATATATATATATATATATATA